AGCAACCGATGATTGAGTGTAATTATACCCATCTTCTCTTATATATATGGTAATACCTTGTTAGGAAACATGAAGTTATGTACAGTGCTTTTACAACGAAGCTGTTCTGTAATTTGTACAATGGGGAGATGTATACGTATTATATTGAAATAATTTACAATCCCTTCGGGTATGTAATTTTACCTTCAGATTTTAGCAAGTTACATAAAACTAAGATTTCTATTTGTCTAAAAACAACCTTAAAAGATTTTTTGAAATTAACCACATTTAATGCGATGTGAGTGAGTTGAGTGCAATTCATTTAATGTTTCCCTGGAAGTACATTGTTTGTTTAAATGATGGAATAATTATGATTCTGTCTGAGTCGCTTCCAGTCCATTAGTAGTTTGTATTTTGCTTTCACATTTCCTTTAATTTTACCTACTTTAATTATATGTATCCTCTGATATAGATTTCAATACATTGAGTTTATACAGTGATATTTATTTAGAAGTAGATGTGTATTGTTTTTCATGTCTACTTTGAAATGGAAAAATACTTCTGAAGAGCGCCTAACTTTATGGGAGGGGAGAGGAAAGCTAGTATAAATTAGTAGTTAAGATGAATACCTGGATTTACCTTTAATAATAATACTACGATTTATTGAAAGTATATACATTACAAGACGAAGAGCGTGGCACAGGGAACCGAATGAGGGAAAAACGAGATGGACAATCTAGGTTATTGTGTAGCAAATTGAAGAGAAAGTTGAGGCCAATGGTGGGATAAACTCTGTCCAATTTAAACGATAAAAGCGTTCAGAAACTTACGCTGCACTGCTTGCAGGGTTGTTTTATATAGTAAGGGTATCAAATGAGAGAACCACACTCTGGACCACCATTATCAAAGTAGGTGTACCGAGGGAAGTTGAATACAGATCAATTAAGGGTAGTAAGTGCTCATAAATGTACCAAATTAAATCCATTTAATATCGTTTAATACAATCGTTGGTCAAGACTTAATCATTTTAGTAGGGACCACTGGCTCCAGGTGCACCATATTTGCTGCCAGAAGAACTGCTTGCCGATGTATCCAATCATGTTCCTGATGGATCGCCAATCCTGATCTCAGTAACACCGGCATGCCCTCCACTAATACCGGTACCACCACCACTTCCTAATGATGTACTTCCGAAGGAACCTAAAGCCCCAGTAGACAAGGTTCTCAGCGATTTCCCGGCGACCATTTACTTCCCGGCTTCGGTTATCTCGGCGCTCTAAACCCGGCGACGGGCAATCTCGGTTTCGGTCGTCCCGGCAATTTGAACTCTGCGATCGGAGGGATGGAAAACATTTTATTTGTTACTCAGTTGTAAACGTTGATTAACAAGACAAAACGCAAACGGGTAAACGTCATCTTTAAACGCTACTGACTTGTAAAACTGACAGCAGACCTGTAAAACTGACAGCTGACGTGTAAAAATTTTACAAGTTAGTAATCTAGTAATTTCATTGGCCAGATTTAATGCGAAGTCTCTGTTACATGGATAATATGATATTTTAGACATTTCTTCGAGATCAATTTAAGAACTAATTATTTACGTTTACAAATGAGTAACAAATAAAATATTGTACAATATACGCCAGGTAATAGTTTTTACTGGCTCTAGGAGATGACAGGCTCGCCTCACGGCTCGCCAGTCAACTTCTCCTATCGCCAGTAAAAACTCACTTACCTGGCTAATAATCTAAAATACTATAAGACGCGGTAAACATATGAAGCAAATTCATGTTTATCATATTGAAACAATTCACCGGAATTAAGTTTTCTGATTTGTTATTTTATAGAGTGTGATTTTTCCTTTTCAGATATAATACAATCTGATAGGGACTATAGTATCAAATTGAAGTTATGCCATTTATAGGTAGGTAAAGTTTTCTGGTATCTACCTGCGTAGGTAAATGATAAAACGCAATTTTTTTAAAATGGGTCCTTTGCACCGATGGCAATTGCTTAAACATATTTGAGCTTCCTTGCATATTTCGTCTCCTAGATTTACACCGCCGGGATGAGATGCACCGGCGCACCAAGCATTCGCCCAGAATCCCAATGTCCTTCTTTTTTTCTGAACCAAACCTCGCGGGGGCCCTATCTGTCCTGTATCTCAGTTACTTTTGAGAATTAAGCACATGTTTCAGGAACTTTTCTGCTTAAAATGAACGAATCTATATATAACATAATATGTGCCATTCCTCATGAAACACCCTGTAAATGTAGCGCCGTCTCCTAGGTAATTAAGAAATAAATTGTATTTGTTAACCGGAAGTGTACCTGTTTTTATCCGCCTTTTAGAAGATTATCTATAATTCTGCAACAACGACGATTCGTAAATTTTGCGGCTAGGAATACATACAAAATTAAATCCAAAAGTAGTTGTGCATTTAATTTCATATCGTTTAATAGAATAAATAATTGACAAATAATTATTAATCCTTTTAGTACGGACCACTGGCTCCAGGTGCACCATATTTGCTTCCAGAAGAACTGCTTCCCGATGTTTCCAATAATGTTCCTGATGGACCGCCAATGCTGACCCCAGTAACACCGGAATGACCTCCACTAATACCGGTAACACCACCGTAACCACCACCGCTTCCAAATGATGAACTTCCGAACGACCCTAAAATGCCATTGATGCCTCCATGTGCACCGCTAGACAAAGTTCTCACAAATGAATCTTTGTCATTGATAGATTTGACACCAGACCCTGCGACCTTCCCACTGAGACTGTCGGCTACGACTCTTTCGGCGTCGTGGGCATCTTTGTATTTTACATAGAATACCTCGGGTTTGGTCTTGACAACATTGTGAGTAACAGAAGCAGGCAGATTAATGGTACCCACGGCATCTTGTTTCTTAGATAATACGTAAACGACGGTCCTTTCGTGAGATGGAGCAGAAGGTGCAATGATTTCGGGTATAATTGAAGAGCCAACTTCTGGCGATTTAACGAAAAGTACCTTATTTCGTGAAGGAGCGGGTGCGACGTGTATACGAAGTCGAGATTGCTGATGGCTATCATCCCCATAAAAATGTACTTCGGTATCTTCTTCGGAACCGAAACCGTAACTACCACTTGTACCATAGTAACCACCATGCCCACCGCTTCCAAAGAATCCTGTTTGTCCGCCGAAACCTCCTCGATATCCCGATCCTCCATGTACTCCACCAAACTGGTGCCCACCAGAATGCACTCCAATGCCATGATGCGCACTTCCACTTCCAAAATGCCCACCGCTCACCCCCGGTAAGTAACTTCCAGACGGTTCATACGAAAGATGCGAAACGTCCGGCCTCGCCCAAGCGACGGACACGAGGCTAAGCAGAATCTGAAAACAATTTCCGTTAATTACGTACTTAACATTATTCGACCGCACATTACCCCTGTAAATGAGTACCTCATAGCTTGTGGTTATTTGACGTATCTGTTGATTTTGGAAGCGACGATTGCTTCTTTATACCCATTCTCCCATCGACACAATTCAAACCGAAACCAGTAATTTGCATCGATTACAAAACAAAGTGCAGCGCCCGCCAAAATTAAGTTTTGAAAGTAATCGCGAATTAATTTTGGTTTCTGCAGAATATCAACGGTTTGCGAACATCTTCCGATTAATTTATTGATATTTATGTTAAATGATGCATGCATTAACATGAATTCTTATTTAATAACACCAACGGGTAATTGGTATAGTGGTAAATTTGGAAATCGGTATTACGAATGTCGTTATTTAATGTTATAAAAATGCATCTATTATGATTGCAAATAAGATGATAATTTTGCCTACTCTCAGATCGACCTCTAAATCTGCTGTAGATTGCATAATGTTAGGAGACAGTATACATTGTATAATGGTTTTAGTAAGAGCCTTGTGCGACACAAAATAAAATGGTGCAGATATTAAGCCAAGATAATAATTTAACTAAAATTCTTAGTTATATTTTGCTTCATGTGCTACTTATTTCTACTTGCGTCTCGCTGTAGCACATCTTTTCCCTGGACATTAATTGTTTTCTTTATTTACCGTCTTTACGTCGTTACCTACCGTTTCTCTTCCCAACTTATCTACTTAGAAACAAACATGCGCGAAGAAAAAGGGGAATAGAGAAGGGTTCGTTCGTTCATCGGTTATTAACAAAGCCACCATCAATATATTTGAGCAACAATTTCGTCGCCGTCTATCAATAATTATCGGTCATTCTTCGTCGTCTGTTCATTCATCGTAGTGGACAATGTAAGTCGCTCTTATCGGTCCACCAAGAGTTCAGAGTTGCCGTTATCATTATATTTGTACAAACGTAATAAATAGTTTGCGTACATTTCTTTTCAATTTCCTCTTTAGAAAAGGCACGAGAAAGATTTCCTTTCCACTTAATTAATTAATCGTGGTTACCAGCACGTAACACATTTCGATCTTGGAAATTAGCGAAGATGGTTATATATGGAAAGAATTGAAATACTTTTTGTTTTCTTTGGAATAGAAAAATGCAACAGCCGAGTATCTCGGTTGGCAGTTCTTTTGGTATCATAATACATATACAGCCAAAAACGTGTGTTTGTACGGAATATTTTTTTAACGTGTATAACTTTTGTGTACACATAAGATTAGATATACTTTCTGCTTAACCTCAGCCTTCATTATCTTCCTCAAAAATACGTAAAGGAGCATTTTTTAGCCCTATAGATTTTTCTATCACATTTCTTTGGTCGTTTCCATCTTCATCACGCACTAGCGTTTATGGTTTTTTTTTGGTATTTTTTTTTTCGGCGCTAGAAAATGTTTTGCTTTTGCACCTCCTCCGACCTTATTTCTTAGCTACATTCTTGCGCCATATGATAATATGGCATGTGATCTTGTTTGAAAATACACCCACCAAATTTTCAGAAATTAAGCAACAAAATGATAGCAGGATATGACAAACAAATCAACGGCGTCAGAATAATATCTTGCTGTACTTACTTAAGGAATGAATACGTTAGGATTTCTTGTACGGTTCTTATCTGTAATGACAAAAATACGGACATTAGTGAGAATCTTAATTCCTACTATGTAATTAGCTTAAATATTGTGTGATCAAAACTCTCTAAACCTTCCCCATATAGTTTTTATTCGTTGAAGTTTGATGAATTGATGGATTGTTGAAGCTCGGTTGTGCTAAGTTTGATGAATTGATGGATTGTTGAAGCTCGGTTGAATAAAAACTATATGGGGAAGGTTTAGAGAGTTTTGATCACACAATATATTTCAACCCCCATTTCGAGGAACGATGGATCCAACCCAAAATAATTAGCTTAATTTAAACCTTGATTACTACCTCTCAAGCCACTCAAGAATTTTTGTTTCAGCAAATATACTTATACGGGTTGCTAGATCAGTAGCTCCCGAAAGTAGTTGCAAAACAGGACCAAATACTTGAAAAAATACAATTTCCACCAATCGATTTTTATCATTACATAACACAAGTAGCACATCCTTAGACGAATTTTTGAATGCAAAGCATGCGCATATTTTTGAAAAATTCATCAGCAATATTACTACTAGAGTAAACTACATATTATATTGTTATGCAATCCCACAAATGCACTAGTAATTCATGTAGGTCATGGATAGGAGGTGTATGAAACGTTGGAAATTACTTCGTTTCGAAGTTTTTGTTAGTTGAAACCTTATTTAGGATTTAACAAAATCAGATTGTGATTTAATAGGTATGGAATTTTTCTAATCTTTAGGAACTTCTTGTTATGTTTTATGTCTTATTATAAAAAGAGCATGTATTGAAGCTTGGTAAAAGGCCTTCAGTCAAGGTTCTCTTATAATTAGTATCTTTTATCAAAGTTAAAAGTTTTTACAGTTCGCACAACCACCGATAATGTTAGGCCCTAGATTATTTGAATTATTTAAAAAGAAAAACTGTAAGTAATTTTAAGATTTTATTATTTTATTTGTAGAACACCTATGGAACACCGTTTTAGTATTTATACCAACATTTTATCATGTATCATTTTAAATAACAGTCAATCTTATGTCTCTAAATTTTTCGTTTGTTGTTTTTATCTTACGTATTAAGAGATGATTAAAAAAATGTTGATTAATAAAGATGATACATGAATTAAAATGTTTGTTGATAATTTTAATTAGGCGCTAGTATACACGTAGTCAAATAGACTAAACTGTAGTTCCTGAAACTTCCGCACAATCAGAGATACGAATTAAAATTATCAACAATCATTTTAATTAATGTAACATTTTAATTCAACAATCATTTTAAATAATGCTTTCCGATTTTAACAGCACGAATTAATATGATTGTTGAATTAAAATGTTTGTTCATAATTTTAATCCCACATTTAATATGAATAAATTTTTATGTTTGTTGAATTAGTTCTAGTTAGTTATATTACTGTTCGTTTATGTATTCGTTTGATTTGTATTGTTAAACTTTCGTTATACACATTGCTATATAATTCATACATCATTTCAATTAAGTGAAGTTTTTTAAACAAACCTATTTAATGTTTCACATAAAAACAACAAACATAATAAATCGGGAAATAAAATTAACTGTTGTTTATAATGTTACATTGTAAACTTTCGTAATAAAAAGTAAAACGGCGTTCCATAAACACCTGAGTGCCGAGTAATTTGTCCAAACAATCCATGCGAGGTTCTCTTTCATTCAGGAATTTTGTTCATTTCATGTGTTTTGTCACTGTCAGTCAATTAATTGTGTATTTATTCGAACCATCTTTGTAGTGGCTTTGTTTAAGACATGCCGTGAGAGAAACATCGATATATTTTACGGCTCTTTGAGTGAATGAATTAGTCAGATTAAATCGTAATTTCTATGTAGTTCTAGCTTAAGTACAGCATCCCAGTGCCATGTAATTGGATTGCTTCCATTCTGTATGGTGCCTGTGCAAACAAATAAACAAATAAAATGTGTGTAGTTAAGCCTTTTCAGAAGTTGATCGAGACTACAGAGTCAATATTGGGATTTTTCTTTGTAGCCGATGCCTGACGTGTACAAGGAGAAATTACAAAATTCATAATTTAAAGATTATTTTACTTTGAGTCCAACGTGGGGCCACAGCATTTATTTGGCTTGTTTATTGGGCACCCGAAATGTGAATTTTAAATCATATATGCTAATTTAAATTAGTATTAGGGATGTTTTTGGCATGATGAAATTGGTTGGTATACCTCACAATGGAATAGCTCGATCAGGAATGGTAAATACACGAAATCTCCCCACGCATCCAAAATTTAATGACAA